TGCTCTACAAAGCTTGGTACATAGATGCTCTGTGATAATGTGCTTACCTTGTTACCTTTTTCAAAGGGTTGAAATATGTGCATGTTATTTAGGCATATTTCTGATATTCCAAGAAGCACTCAACAAATTTAAATGAAACTGTGTTCTGAAACAATTTGCAGACCTGGTCTGTTCTAGCGTGAAGTCATTCATATTGATTACTAAACATAATTGATTATAGTCAAATTTATTGCAGTTGTTGACAACCTCAATGACATTTCTAGTTAGTTTTATGTGGATGAAATTGATTTTACATTGTGCATTTCACAGAACAACGCTACATTATTGAAAAGGCTTCTTTAATAGGTTAATCTGAAATTTGTAATAAATTTTGTGTCATGCCACAGTGCATATGAATACTTTCAAAGTTTTTTAAACATTTCCTTGCAGGTTTCATCAGTACTGATCAACTTGCTTGGCTTGTATGTAGTTGGTGCCTTAGGAATTGTTATCTTCTTAGTTGTTATGATAATCATCCAGTAACAATGGTGACATTAACTATATGACCATGTTTCCTTGTAATTGTATGAAGTACATTTATATATGGCTGTATTTGTACATCTTTAAACCTTTTTTGCTTAACATTGTTTTTATATAGGTTGTACTTGGAGGGAAAATATAAAATTTTGTAACAGTAAACAATAACTTTGGGATATTTCCTTGATGGAAAATTATCAAATCATGAAAATGAACAGCAGTTTTGTATTTCATGGGTCATAGTAGTTACATCAGTGCATCAATACAGAGTCGTATCAGGAGCTGTATTGCAGACAAGGACATTAATTAATTAACACTGTGTCGTATTGAAGACATTCATTCCTTTTAATTACTTTATATGAATCTCTTTAAAATGCATTACTGTCATACCTGGAGCACTATTGCATTTATAACTAGTTTACAGTCTTTAAGACTACTTTTCAAAATGTAATCATCTTTCATATTTATGAGCCTTTACAATTAACAATTTGGTGATTAGTTTGAATTTTGTGCACAATAAGTCAAAAATTTAATTTTCAATTACGATTGATGAACTAATAAACATGGATGGATGGAAATGGGATGCAATTATTTTGCATTTCAAACTAATTCTTAACCAAAATACATTTTTTAGAAGTATACTTACACGTAATTATGGAACATTCATTTTCTTATTAAATAAAAAGTATGTTAATAATCATTCTTGCATTAGAAATGTTTTTGGGTATTTGCCTAATACAATTGTTTAATAGCTACTGTAAAAATAAATTAATTTTTAACTGCAAGATTTGATATCCTAAACATTTGATTAGATTAACCGTGGGTTAAATTTTGGGGTGGCCTTCATTAGGCAGCTTCTTCTATTTTATAATAAAATATGGTAAAAGCAATAATGATCTAATCAATTAAATTAGTATTTGTATATTTCAACTTTTGCATAACAAACAAAATTATCAAGACAGTAGTAAATTGTGTTTATTTGAATTATAGAAAATAAAAATCTGATTCTCCTACTAAACTTCATTATGTTACTGTGCATGATTTGTAAATTTTCAGTAAATCAGTTTATGTTGCCTAATCAATGTTAAATAAAATAATTAAAACACCAAGTATTATCTTATTGATATGAATAAAACCTTGCTGCTGAACCCTGCAAACATATCAAAAACACAATGTTTTTTTTTTGCTGAACCTAGCTGCTGAAACCCTGCTAATCAACATATCAAAAATGTATAAACAAATAAGGTTGCCAAAATGTACTGATTTGCATAAAACCAGATTGGCTATATTTATCTTCATGGCAGGTCTTTGACTTACCCCATATGATTTAAGTCACATATATTTAGTACAATTATTATCCAAGTGTCTTGCAATAATGTCATTGCCATGGAAAATTATGATTATTTTTCAAAATTTTCCAGCCAAATTTTAGAACATAAGGCAAACTGCAATTTATTGTCAAATATAGATCAACAGATTCATAGCTGTTAACAACTCATTATAGTGTAGACCAAGCTGGCACTTTTGTATCATTCTGTTATCTAGTCAACAGCCCTCACCCAATCAGAGTCGATAACGTGTGGGTCTATTCTACCACGATTTTCATTGCAACACCAAGATCAGATACAAAGTATCCATTGAGTGACAGAAAACATCCAGTTCACTGAAAGTGTGCCTCCAAGTCAGCTTCCAATTTATCCATGGTATGCGTAAAATATGAGCACTGACCGCTAGAGCGAGTCGACTGACACTTGGGGCGTTACTGAAACTAATGGCAACACATGGCCCATCGTTGCAACATCTTGCTCGACAAACTGTAACATAAAGTACTAAAATGTTATATCACAAGTTTGATTGTTGTAAAAATGTCTTTGATTGGCTAATACAAATCATTTTGGTGCGAAGTCAGTTAGATCACGCCCCTTGGTAACTATGAGAATTGTTACATGACAGTTCCTGAATATTTTCGATGTGGGGGGAATTAGTGCAATTAACTACTACTGAGCACTCTTGTCCCAGTTTCCTGCAGGTACATCTCCATGTATCACAGTCTGTTTTGCAGTTGCATCTGACCACCTTTAGAAGAGTGTTTGGAGCTGGTGGCAAGTTTGTCTGTCTGCTGCCATCTAGAACCCATCCTCGCTCATCTGAATTCATAGTCATACCAATTCCCATTCATATCATCGTCTGGTAATAGGCATGCATGCTGTGATTTTTAGCTGCTGCTGTGGTTGGAGGCAAGGTGTGTTCTTGTGGCTACTTTCTTTCTGAATTTTCTGTAGCTAAGCCTATCCAAGCCTTCCCTGGTTTGCCTCCATACAAACAAGTCATTGTTTCTTCACCAGCAGATATGATGTTATCCTTCATTGCCTCTTCAGTGATGAACACCCTAGCCTGCTTTTTTAAATTGTTGTTGCTTATAAGCTAATTATAGATAGTATTGATGTATCTGGTGAAGGCATGAACAAAGGACAGGTAGATGCTTAATGTCCCATATTCTATGCTTCTTGGTCATGTTATTTTTTTTTGGCTCGGACATGAAATACAGGTTAAAAGATCTGGACCAGCAGGCATATTGCACAGGCATATTATCTCCAATTAGAGTAGTGGTATATTGAGTTTCGATTCCACTGCTGTGTGGCAAATGAGTAAATCAGCATATACTTCTGCATGTAATGATTGAAATCCATTTAGAATTTGGGTTAACAGACATGGGGATAGATCAAACAGGTCAGATTTTGGCATAAACAGACCTGGGGATTGATCAAACAGATTAGATATTGGCATAAACAGACACGTGAATTGATCAAACAGATTAGATATTGGCATAAACAGACACGTGAATTGATCACACAGGTTAGATTTTGGCATAAACAGACAAGGTGATTGATCAAACAGGTTAGATATTGGCATAAACAGACACGGGGATTGATCAAACAGATTAGATATTGGCATAAACAGACACAGGGATTGATCAACCAGGTTAGATTTTGGCATAAACAGACCTGGGGATTGATCAATCAGGTTAGATTTTGGCATAAACAGACACTGGGATTGATCAATCAGGTTAGATATTGGCATAAACAGACAAAGTGATTGATCAAACGGTTAGAATTTGGCATAAACAGACACGGAGATTGATCAAACTATTAGGGTTGTACAAACCCGTTTGTTTAATTAATCATACCTACCAGAAAGTCTGTGGAAATAATAAATTCCATTTATCACTCGAAGGCAGAGTAGCACGCTCACCGGAGGTGGGGAAGTTCCGACAGCTGAAATATATATTTTTCGACCCCAAAAAGGAAGGTCCAAAAACAAAAACTGAGAAATCTAAAGCTACTCACCAACAAGGAGTCTAGTCCAAGGATAAAACCAATTTGGTGACTCTTCAGGGACCGGGTGTCTGAGGGTGGACCCTCCAATTTAGGGAGGCTACTAAAACCAGAAAACTGAACAATAAATAGGGTCCCCAACAATTTTAATGCATCAAAACAGTATATTGCTAGGGTTCGATAGCGCTGAACGAAAACTGGTAGCATCAAGCAAAGGAGGCTGGTTTCGGCTGAAGGCACTTTCTCTAACGCTTTCGTGCATAGGGCCCCTTGGTGGTGCGGGCTGGGTCAATGAACACAGTCTGACCCGTCACCACTCGACCTAACCTGTAGAGGCTCCCCTGCAGTGCTTGAAGATTTCTCAGGTAATAATTAATGAAGACATTCTGAGATCTCCAGAACCCTGCTCGAAGCACCTGCTCGAGTGGGGCCCCAGACATCAAAGCCAATGAGCTAGCTACCCCACGCACCTCGTGTGCCTTCACCAGGTGGCGTTCCAAACAAACCGATGAAGAAGCAGTAAACCTATACGTTTCCACAACCGTATCAACAATCCACCGCGAAATGGTGATATTAGAAGCAGGGTGGCTCTGTTTGCCCCGCCCATAACAGACAAACATGCGCTTCTCACTGCCCCTAAACACATTGGTGTGATTGCAGTACCAGCTCAGTGCTCGAACCGGGCATAGAATCCGTTCCTGAGGATCCACCTTGCCCACCATGTTGGTGAGGCGTGGGATGACAATCGCCTCAGGGTCACGCCCTGGGATTTGATTCTTGGCAAGAAAGCCCAGTCGAGTCTTCAGAATAACTTGCGAGTTCATAAAGGAGGCACAACCGTCACTAAAGGACAGTGCCCCTATCTAAACTGTTTTCATAGTGACATACTTCATGTCTGCCTTATCCATAAGCTCGAAGGGGGGTGTCGTAACGCCGACAGAACTAATGACAAGTCCCAGTCAAGGGGATTCGTTAGCCCCTTGGCGCGTGGCCTCTTCGAGCGGAAAGACTTAAACAGATGACTCATAATAGAACTCGAAGCCAGTTTCAGTCCAGCAGATTCTGCTAAACCTGGGAATAAAACCGACCAATATCCAAGATTTGTCGATATAGATTTCTCTTGATTAAACAAATAAAGGAAAAAATCGGCTACCTCGCTAATAGAAGGACCAATCTCCCTTTCGTCACACCAATCAGAGTACTATTTCCATCTCGATTCGTACAACTGTCTGGTGCAGTTTGACTGTGCCGAAGCGAGGAACTTGGACAACTCTGCAGAAAAGCCTTGCGCTTGCACGAGTTTATCGATAGCCTCCACACGTGAAGATGAAAAAACGTGGGGCTCATTGGTAACGTGCCCTCTGGCTGGGACAACAGATCCAGAAAATCCGGCAGCTCCACTGGCGACTTGACTAGTTCCAGCAACAACGGGAACCAGATCTTCACTGGCCAACTGGGCGCCACCAATGTCAGAATACAGGTGGGCTCAACACTTGTCACCAGATGGAAGGGTGGAAATGCGTAAGCGTCTATGTGGCTCCAAGAGATCGATAGAGCGTCCGTGGTGAATGCGCTCGTCTCCGGGAGGAGTGACACGTACATTGGGAGCTTGACGTTCTGGTGATTGGCAAGCAGATCTATCCGGGGACCGTCCCAGAGACGAAAAAGCCTGTCTGCCACCCATTGGGGGATCTGCCACTCGGTGTTCTTGAACCGAATACGTTGCGAGAGGGCGTCCGCGGCACTGTTGTGTATTTCCAGAAGGTGGTGAGCCGATTGCTCCACTTGGTTCTCCAGGCACCAAAGGAGAATCTCCTCCGCTAGCTTTGACAACGTGGGGGAATGAGTCCCCCCTCCTTGTTGATGTACGACACTACTGAGCTGTTGTCTGTCCGAAGCAAGACTCTGTGGTGATGTGCGACTTCCTGAAAATGTTTCAGAGACAATAGGACGGTCTGCAACCAATTGATGTGGTTGTCCCAATATGTGGGCGGCCACATCCCCTGGACCTGAAGGTCCATGAGATGACCATCCCATCCCTGGAGCGACGCATCTGTAATGAGAGTCAGCGAAGGGGTCGTCGTATCTAGAGGTACACCCGTTACCAAGTTCTGTGCGTCCTGCAACCAAAGGAGGGTCGCCATCGCTTGATCCGACAGTTGAACCCTGAAGGTCAAGTTCTGCATGTGGACTCTGTAGTCCAGTAAGCACCTCTGAATCGGACAAGACCGGAGAGCTGCTAACGGAACCAGATGACGAACTGCCGTCATTTTGCCAATATTGACATATTGACACCGATCCCGTCGACCAGAGTTGGCTGGCGAGCTCTACAAGCGAGCCGCATCTCTCCTGAGAGGGGCGAACACGCCCTTGCTCTGTGTTGAACTGCATACCCAGACACACTAGGCTGTGGGACGGTATAGTGTTTGACTTGGCAATATTTATTAAAAAGCCCAACTCGTGCAGGAGCGTCTGCGTCAACCGCACATGCTTCACTAAGACCTCCCTGTCTCGGTTGTGTATTAACCAGTCATCAAGGTATGGGTTCAGATAGACCGACGACTGGAGCAGCAGCTGGGTCACCTGTCTTAGCACGCTGGTCAAGACATACGGTGCCGTGCACAGACCGAAAGGAAGGGCGGTAAACTCGTAGATTTTGCCCTCTATAGGGAATCTGAGATGGTGAATGAGAATGTGGAGGTAAGCGTCGCTCAAATTCAGCGACGCCAACCAATCGCCTGAGTTCACCGACAGAAGTACTGAAGACGGTGTTTCCATCCAGAAGCGCTTGGGTTCCACAAACTTGTTCAGCCGACTGAGGTCTAGGACTGGACGCCACCCCCTGAACTTTTGGGAACGAGGAAGATGCGGGAATAGAACCCTGGTGATACACAGGGGTTCCCCACTAGGCGTATCACCCTTTTCTCAATAAGGCTTGCTACTTCCTGTCAGATCGTCTCCACCTTGACCTCGTCCCTCGGCAAAAGACCTGAGGGAGGGTGAGGAGCCAGGGGAGGAGGAGACTGAAGAGGATTCCTATACCCACGGGACACTACTTTGAAAGTCCAGGGATCGGAGACCCTCCTGCGCCAGGCGCCAGGCTGCCCACAGGAAGGAGCGAACTCCATCCTCCAGAATGGGAGGACGAAGAGGGGGAGACTGAGCCAAGGATAACACAATTCATCAGTAAGTTAGATGTAGTCAAGGGTAACACAATTCATCAGTAAGTTAGATGTAGTCAAGGGTAACACAATTCATCCGTAAGTTAGACGTATTCAATGATACCACAATTCATCTGTAAGTTGGATGTAGTCAAGGGTAGCCCAATTCATCTGTAAGTTGGATGTGGTCAAGGATAACACAATTCATCAGTAGGTTAGATGTAGTCAAGGAAAACACAATTCATCAGTAAGTTAGATGTAGTCAAGGGTAGCCCAATTCATCAGTAAAATGTACGTATTCAAGGGTAGCACAATTCATCAGTAAGTTAGATGTAGTCAAGGATAACACAATTCATCAGTAAGTTAGATGTAGTCAAGGGTAACACAGTTCATCTGTAAGTTAGACATAGTCAAGGGTAGCCAAATTCACCTGTAAGTTAGATGTAGTCAAGGGTAACATAATTCATCAGTTAGTTAGATGTAGTCAAGGGTAACATAATTCATCAGTAAGTTAGATGTAGTCAAGGGTAATCCAATTCATCTGTTAGTTAGATGTAGTCAAGGGTAACATAATTGATTGAAAAACAGCAGTCCGAAGTTGAAAAGTCTGTGGAATTTCATCACGATAGTGTTGTACAGTTAAACAAGGATAAAATAGCATTGGAGGAGAAAGTTAGAAGGATGGAAGAAGAAATTTGTCACCTTAAAACTGAAAATAAAGAGATTGATGGTATACGGCAACAAAGACATTCAAGGAGTTATAATTTACGTTTCGGAGGGGTAAAAAAAGCTGAAAACGAAAACTGTTTACAAATTATTGCCAACATATTATGTGATCAGTGTGGTTTTGAAAACGCTCACAGAGTCCCCACAGTTAAACAGGCAACTACCAATGCGGATCCGAATAACCTGCTCGTCATATTATTGTCAAGTTTTTGCGTAGGCCTCAGCGTTTGAAAGTGTTCAAAAAGGCGAAAACGTGTCTCCGTGGTAACATATTCGTGACGGACGATTACTGCCAAGGCGATTATAAATTAAAGCGTGGGTTGAGATCAGTAATGGAAAATGCGTATAAAACGGGACAGAAACCATACTTCAGTAATGGTCGCTTATTTATTAACGGTAAGCTGTATGTGACAAATAATTAAATTAAGAATCATTATCTGTGCATTGTTACCACTGCTGATTTGATTTTGGGACAACAAAAATACAGTCCTCGCTTTGTATGGAGTTATATTAATTACCAGACGGGTGTAATTATTATCACTGCTGGTTTGTTTTACAGTATTATGTTTAAATTTTGCCTAGCGGATGGATAGTTAAACCCATTCTATTCTTTAATGTTTTGGGTTTTTCTCTTTTTCTCTTATTTGTTTTTGTTTCGTGGGAGTCTGTGTATTATTATCAGAGTATTTTTTTTTTTTTTATGAAATATGTAATCATTGTGACTTATGCCAGAATTGAATTTTATTTCATTCAATGTACGGGGATTACAGGGATATAAAAAACGAATGAAAATTTTCAGCTGGATTAGGAACCCGAAAGCAAATATTATTCTGCTTCAAGAAACGCATAGTCTAGAAAAAAAATTTCATTTGTGGTGGTCACAGATTAAAGGTAATGTGATATTTTCTCACGGGACGGGGGGATCGAGGGGTGTCATAATAATTATTAGAAATATAGAATGCGAGGTGAAAAGTGTCATTAGGGATTCTGAGGGTCGTTTACTAATTATTCACATAACCATTGAAGATAATAACTTTCTTATTATAAATGGTCCAAATTACGAACTTTATCATTGTAATTTTTTAAACACCGTTAACAAAAATCTACACAAAATGAATATTACCCCTGATACTCAAATAATTTGGGGAGGTGACCATAATTATGCATTGGATATTGTTTTGGATCGTAAAGGGGGGAATCCAAGAGTATGGCGGCGATCATTAGATTGGTATAAGAAACTAATGGAAAAATTTAGCCTCATTGATATCTGGCGTATACAAAACCCAAACTCTCGTTGCTTTACATGGAGTCGTTACAGACCTGAACTCATACAGAGTAGAATTGATTATTTTTTGATTAGTGAATCATTGCAATCTTCTGTGTTATCCTCTTCAATGAAACCAGGATTGGAGTCAGATCATTTGGCAATAACTCTCTCATTTCAATAAAAACATCAAAACGAGGGCCCTCATATTGGAAATTTAACTCTAGTTTAGTGAATGATTGCGAGTATATCGAACAAATCACATACACTTTCCCATTATGGTTACAGAAATACAACAATCTGAGAAATTCCCTTCTAATTTGGGATTAATGAGATTTTGTATAAGTGGTCTTACAAATACCTATTCAAAGAAAAGAGCTGCTGAAAAAAAGAAAGAAGATTCAGAAACTAAATGTTGAAATACTAGCCTTGGAATTGGAATATAATTCGGATCCATCGGAACAGCTGTTAGATAGGCTTGAAGGCAAAAAAAATCACTAGAAGAAGAATATGACTATATAATGGAAGGGTGTACAATTAGGTCGAGAGCAGATTGCTACGAATTTGGGGAAAAAAATTCAAAATATTTTTTTGGCCTAGAAAAGGCTAACCAGACTAAAATTCAGATAAATAATTTAATTGATATATCAGGAAATATAATACATGGGGAAAAGAATATTTTATCAGAAATCAGGAAATTTTATTCAGAATTGTTCCGATCAAAAGTTGTAACTGATAATACAAACATTGAGACATTTTTGAACCCATTGAAACTTCCCCATTTAAAAGAATCTAACAAAAATCTTTGTGAGGGTCCAATTACATTGAAGGAAGCTTACGAGGCTCTACAAAAAAATGCCAAATAATAAAACACCGTGGAATGATGGTCTTAGTGCCGAATTTTTTGAAACATTTTGGGCTTTGGTGGGACCTTGTGTGGTGAAAGCATTGAATTATGGGTATGAGGTTGGTAAATTATCAGTTACACAAAGACAGGCAGTGATATCATTACTCCCTAAAAAAGGAAAGGACCTCAGATTTATTAAAAATTGGCGCCCCATATCGCTGTTAAATTTGGATTATAAGATTGCGGCTAAATGTGTGGAGAAAGTATTACCCTCCCTTATTTCTGAACTCCAGTCTGCTTTTGTTAAAGGTAGATATATAGGTGACTGTGTACGTCTGATAGATGACCTTATGAAGTACACAAAAGACAGGAATATACCTGGAATTTTATTTTGCATTGATTTTGAAAAGGCATTTGACTCTTTGGAATGGCAATATATTTTTGCTGTTCTAAAGAAATATAATTTTGGGGAGTCATTTATTAATTGGATTCATTGTTTCTACTCTGAAATTTCAAGTTGTGTAATAAACAGAGGCTTTTCAACTGGGTATTTTAACATGAATCGAGGTGTAAGACAAGGTGACCCTTTATTCCCTGCTTTGTTTATTTTAAGCTTGGAACCTTCACTAAATGCTATATCTGAAAATAATAAAATAAATGGTATTCAGATTGGTCCAAATC